CTACAATAGCATGTAAACCCTTCAGAACTAAGAGAACTTTGCCAAGCAAGTTAGAGGTTCCAGCTTACAAGCTACCCTTCTAGTAAGCACAGCACCTAAAGGGACCGACCCTTCCAAGCTTTTAGGCATATGTTTACATTCATCATATTCAGTTACGGATTCTTGTCCTCAAACTCATCAATTCAGAATGGTGTTGAGCAAAAGGTCTTAAAAAAGAACAGGACATAGGCATATACTACCTATTTACTCTTTCTTTTCTATTCATAGGTTTAAGTCAGATAAACTGTTCCTCATTTACAATTCCTCATATAGGTACAATCATCACATTCGGTTGCTGATACTCTTGATTTCTGGTAAATCTTTTAAAAAAGGAAAGTAATAATATGATTGCAAGCTACAAAATAATTTATTTTTTTTAAGGTCAGAGAGTGGGTAGGGAAATAAGATTCAATATTATTCAACTAATGGAAAGTGCTTATTGCTGAGTGGTATTTGGCAGACCTCCAGAACTCTCTTGCAACACAAGAGATACCAACAATTACTTATAAAGTATACTTTTGGATCGGAGATCTCTGATCACTGTAATACAAAATTATGATCAGAATGCTTTTGTCACTACATGAGGAAGAGTAGCCTTCCTGCATCAATGGATCATTTAAGTCAGGATAGTACTGTGAAATAATCCTTGATCACAAATTCCACCCAAGGATATAGAGAAAGAAAGCTGCACTCATGGGAAATATTATCACATCTATTGTCCTATCAGATGTGATAACCAATGACTAATGGACGAATAATAGTCTGTCCTTTCTTTTTTTAATATGTTTTTATTGATTTTTTATAGAGAGGAAGGGAGAGGGGGAGAGAGAAACATCAATTGGCTGCCTTCTGAAGGCCCCCTACTGGGGCTTGAGCTCACAGCCTGAGCATGTACTCTGACAGGGAATCGAACTGGCGTCTTCTTGGTGCATGGGACAGTGCCCAACCAATTGAGCCACACCGGCCAGGGATAGCCTGTTCTTTCAAGTAGCACTATTATAGCTAGAATAATTTTAGCAGAGCTTTAAAATCAAAGTTATCAGTTTAACCAAATGTGGTAAGGCTACAAAAAATCTCAATGCTTACATTTTCTTTTAGATCACCTCCAAAAGGAGAGAGGTCAGTTCTTTGTGAAAACCGTATTCTCCTCACCAAAGACTTCCTTGTTCTTCATGTTAACCCTCACTACTATGTAGGTATATCTGAAGGGTACAGGTAAGATACTAGCATTATTATACGGGATTATACTTTAGTGAACTGGTTTATAATTATCTGTACTGCTTAGCACTGATCTTGAAGTTCTCAATCCAAAGACACACACACACACAAACTTCTTGCAAAACATAATTTAAGATTCAAGAAGAATAATACCCTCAACAAAAATTTAAGGAGGGTTAAATATGTACCAAGCCCTGTGCTAGGTAGGCACAGGGAAATAACTATCCATAAGATAGTCTCTGCTCTCAGGAACTAATACCACAGGGGAGACTGGACTGGTACTATTAGGGAAAAAATGAGTGGAAAATAGGCTAGCATAATAAACTAAGAGTTTTGGAAAGTCAAGATTTACTCCTATTCTTCCAGATGCTCATCTGACTGTCCTCCTTCCAACACTCAGATCTCTGCTCAAATGTTACACAACAATGAAAGGCCTTCTGACCCCATCACCCACTCCTATCATCTGCTCATTCCTCTTTCACATTACCTACAGCATTTTCTTTACAGTCCCTATCACTATGTGAGATTCTGTTATTTACCTGTTGGACTGTCTTCCACCGCTAAAATGTAAGCTCCCTGAGAGCAGGTACCTCATCTGTCTTTCCCGTTGCTCTGTCTATCCCTTTCACCTAGTACACAATAGGCTGGTACACAATAGGCACTTAATAAACATTTGTGGGAAGAAGGGGCTCCAACCAGTGAAACACACACTCAGGATTTTCTATGAGGTTTTTCTCTTCCAGAAAAGCTTCAACTCTATAAAATGCAGAAGTCACTAGTTATAAGAATCAAACCCCACAGAATTCTGAAATCTCTGATGTCACACAATGGGAACACAGTTAAGCAATGATGCTAGGAGAGGATTTTCATTTAGCTCTCTCTCTAAAATGCTGCTATCTAGCTCTTCTCCAGAAAGTTCTCTAGTCAGTTACAAATGAAACAAATCTCAGCATAATTTAATCTCTGTGAAAAAAACCAATACATAGACTCAAAGAATTCTTTTCTGTACTTACTCTAAAGCAGCTATTTTTAAAAAGTAAAGTTACTGGTGAGGCTGGGATAGAGTCAGAAAGTTACAAAGTGGCACGGCCAGAACACTAATGCTAATTAGACTATAAATTCAGAATAGATCATCCTTTATTATCCTCTGTAGTATCCAGGAACAGCATGAGATCCATAACAGGTACTTCACAAATATTTATTGAGTTTTCAAAAACCTTTTCTTGGTAGCCATTTTGATACATAAAAACAACATGTAAAATGCACCAAGCAACTGAAGACTTGCTAAATTTTAAAGAGACAAAACCACATGGAAGGAGTTAGTGCCACAATAGCTGTCAGAAAAAGCAGCTGTATAGAAGAGATGGTTTCTATTTCATTTTAAAAATCTGATCTGGGTACATTATTAACTTTTACTCCTCCAAATTCTGTTTTGAACTTGGAAGTGGAAGGAATCAATATAGGAAATCTTCCAAGAAGATGAGTCTAGTTAGCTCTAATCAATAAATGTCAAACTAGCAGATGAGCTGATTGGTTCTTTTATGTTTCTTTTTGTCTGTTTATTTTCTGCAATGAGCAAGCATTGCTTTTGTAAAATCAAAACAAAAAAAGCTTTCATTAAAAACAAAAACAAAAATTAATGACATGAAAACCAACAAGTAAGACAACTATTATTTTTCACTTTCTCTAAACAATAACAGTGTTGTGTTTGTGCAGATTCAATTAGCAGTGAGTTAATGGTTAACAGATGCCTTGGTCAGATGTCTTCTAGTCACTGGTGAGGTACTTTACTGGTAGATAACCCTCTCTTAGGGTCACTCAGCCCTCAGTAGTGTAAAAGCTCCGAACTGTGTTTGAGCAAAGCCTCCACAACCCCCTTTCAGAAGGGCTACAGAAGAGTTTCCTGCACTGTGTGGACAGCTGTACTAGATCAGGGATTCACAAACGCTTCAGTGTGAAGACCCCCTTGAATCTTTTATGCACCAAGGATCTAAAAGAGCTTTGGTTTCTGTGAATTATATCTTTTGGTATTTGCCGTAGAATTTGAAACTGAGAAGTGAATAAAACATATCAGAGCCATCAGGGTGATGTCATCACTCATGTGGCTTCTGGAAAACTCCACTGTACACTGGTGAGAGGATGAGAGTGAAAAAGACAAATGACTTCTTAGTGCTTTTCTGGAAATAGTTTTGATATGACAGAATTCCAGCAAAGATCCTTGAGAATCACTATTTCAGATCAAGAATTCTTCCAATGCTATGGCTCTGGAGCAAGATTTCTCAACTTTGGCATTACTGACATTTTGAGGTAGGTACTTCATTGGTGGGGGGTGGAGGTTGTCCTGTGCATTGTAGGATATTGATAAGCATCCCTGGCCTCTAGCCACTAGATGCTAAAAGTAATCCCCAGTTGTGACAACCAAAAATGTCTCCAGATATTGCCAAATATTCCTTGATTGAGAATCCACTGTTCTAGGGGGCTGATTTTATTCTACTGAAATGTGAATTATAAGATGTGTACCTCTCACTGTCTTCTCAGGCCCGTAATATATCTATTTCCTCTCTACTCCCATCTGGTCTGTTCCTTCCGTGCTTTTTGTTGTTGTTTTTTAAATTAGGTCACAAACAGCAAAAGTCAGTGGGTAGCAACGAACAGGATGAATCAGGTCAGGAAAAGACATTCTGGTCGAAGTTCGCCTTTCAGTTATTAAACTGGTTGCTTACGGGGAGGGTGTGCACAATCAGCCAACATTCACCCAGCCATTCTGAGGACATGGTAGTTATTATCAATCCTCAGGAAGTTACATACCCTCCTCCACCTACTCTTCCTCTGAAAGCCAGGTAATAGGCTAGTTGTATGACCGAGAACAAGAAAATGAGCTTTTGAAGGCAAAGAGACATACAAGACTCCGATACACTCCCAAAATCTTGAAACTGGGAGGCTCTCCCAACTGAAACACTTGGGGATTTGGGGGCTGAAAAAGTGGCAAAAGTGGTCGAAAACTGACATCTTCAACACCTTCGAGTCAGATATTCACTCCCCATTGAAGTTCCCACTCACCCCTTTACTCTCCAGAGGTTGGGCCTGAGTTTTCTTGCCTGGAAAGTGTTCAGCCACCTTGGGTCCCTTCCCCTTCAAAATTCCCAACTACCAAACTCAAATCCAGCATCATTCCTCATCTGTTTAATCACCCTTCCTCCATGGCCTCCAATTCCTTCCCATCAAAGCCCCCAACACTCTCACTGTCCCCAGACTCTACTGTTATATCTGCCCCACTACCCTCACACAGGCAGTGTTTTCCAATTTTCTCTCTCGTCCCATACTTTTCCACCATCTTCAAAACTCTTCCTGATCCTAGGAAACGAGGACTTTCCTAATGGTCTCTGCCACCCCAGAATCAGCATGTACCGCCCTCCTAGGCTCACTCCTTAGTATTTTCCTCAAGTGACTCTTCCTATCCCGATCCACTTCATTCCAAACTCTTCCCTACCTACTCCCTTGGCGTCCAGCCCACCCCCTTACTTGCCCTTTCTTACTCTCACTGGCCCTTCTTACCCCGCTGTTCCTCCGTCAGGTCTTCTCTAGGTCAGTGCTAGGCACCTGGGGCAAGCGCCATCGCCCAGGGTCAGCTGTTCAGCCTCTCAACCCCCTCCCGCTGGGACCAGTTTGACAAGTTGTGGCCTTTGAACTGGGCGCCCCGGGGCCCAGGCGGGGGGACTGATTACGAGGGCCTGACAACTCACCCAGAACGAGGCCGAGCAGAAGGAGCCCCGAGCCAGGCCCCAGGGAGAGGCGGAAGCACACCATGATCCGGAAGAGCAGGCGCAGGCGGCGGCGGCAGAGGCGGCGGCGGGAGCAGCAACACCACGAAGGCGGCTCGGGGGAAGCGGAGGAAGACGGCCGCTGACCACCGACCACAGCGCTGCTAATAGCGGGGACTCGGAGCCTCAGCGCAGGTCATAAGACTAGGGGCGGGGCTCTTTCTCGTCTTCAGCCAATCTCCGCGCTTAAAAGCTGCCAGAGTGGTAGTGATGTAGGGCCGGGTAGGCGGGGCGACCACGCCCTGGCTTTTTGGTTCACGATCATTCTTACTCTCTGAAGAGATGTGCGCGGACGGCCTTATCTAAGGCGAAAGAGAGAGGATGAACTTTTGGGGGGTGTAGATGGTAGAGATCATTTCAGTTCCGACGATGATTCTCCAAACACTGTTGTTACCTATACAGTTCATGCTGTTAAATGGGCGAACAGCTAGTGGGAAGTATGGAGTCACTGACCGCCAGAGCAGGACGTGGTCTTGAAGTTCACTAAGTTACAACACCCTGTTTTTCAGATGGGGAAATTGAACTCAGAAAGAGGAAGAATCTTCATTAAATACAGAAAGAAAGAAAATGAGATAGAAATAAAATAGAAACGGGGGAAAAAACAAAGATCATCCATATGCCTACTACCCAGAGACACTGTTTATCTACTTACCCATCCATTATCCTTCCAGTTGTTTTTCCCATGTACATATACATGTAAATATCCTTTAATAAATTCATACTAAGCATACTATTTGGTATACTTAACAGTTGAACATATGAAACCTAAAATATTCAACAAATGAAAGCATTAAAAAACTATAAAAATTTCAAATTGGAATAAAGCGCTGCTTCTCAAATGTTAGTTTCCAAAAGAATCATCCTGATATTTTTAATAACATACTGATTCCTGTACTTCATTCCCCAGAGACTGTGAAACAGTAGGTACTGTCTTTTTGTTTTGTTTTTTTGTTTTTGTTTTTGTTTTTCCAAGAGCCGTTTCTCAAGCCTGGCTGCATGTTGGAATCACTTGTGGGGCTTTAAAACTAGAGATGCCCCCTTGGCCCCACCTCTTCAGATACAGATTCAGTTGTTATGGAGTGGGGCCTGGGCATTGAATTTTTGTCAAAACTCCCCAAGGCAATATTAATGGGTCAGAGATGATCTCTAAGGTGGCTCCAGCTTTACAACTCTAGGAATCTATAAGAGTAAATGCTCTTTTTCTTAAAATGTAAGGAAGCAAAGTGTCTCAATGAGTTAAAGATCTGGTTTAACACACTGTTGCTCTTAAGTTCTTGCAGATGTCATCAAAAAAAAAAAAAAAAAAAAAAAAGGAACACAGTGAAATAGAGCAGCATTTTAAACTAAATCCCCCCATCACAAGCTTTCCCCCTGACAAAACAAATGCTGGTTCCTTGACTGAGATAAGCATGTTCATGAGACAGAACAATGTTTTGGAAGTGGTAGGTAAATGGTGGGTATTTTGTCAGAAAAAGATACGCTAAAAATACTTAAAGATTTGTTTGGTCAGAGCTTCCATATTCATGGTTGTTTAATGTCCCTCCCCCCAAAAAAAGAACACCTTGTGAAAACTACTTACTTTTGTATGCACTGTCTCCCATGACCCCAGCTTAGTTGAAGGAGTTTTCCCCAGGCTCTTCTGCTGTAGAGGCAAGTCTGTGGGATTAGGGTCGATGTTTGAGGAACTTTGGAAGACCGCTTCCAATCTGAGCTTCATATGTGTTGACTAGATTGTTGATACTACTGCATCTAGAGCACTTTTATGTGCACATCCTCTCCTACCATACCTCATACCTCCCCCGTGGGCAAAATTCCTCAGCAAACACACACACACACACACACACACACACACACACACACACACACACCCCACACACAATAGATTATGACTCTTTGGAGCAGTTTTGAGAGCTCATGACTTTTTGGCCAGGGAGCAGGGATCACTGCCAAACACTTTCCAAATGTGAAGACACTGAATGGCGTAAGAAATAATAATCCTATCTTATTTGGTAAATGATAGACAATGAAATGTGTGGGTCAGAGGTACACAAAGAGTCTGTCCATCCAACGTTAGCAGAGCCAAATGCTAAACACTGAGAATTGCAGTGGAAAAATATTATTTATTTTATTATAAATGGCAACACCCAGGAGAACAGGAAGCTAATGTTCAATACCCACAACTGTCTGATGGCATGTAGGTTACAGATAATAAAGGGCAAAATCACAAGACATCTGTGGGTTAGGGGTTCGGGGTCATGCTGGGAGCTGATTGGTGGGAGGTGAGGTAAAAGGTAATAAATCATTTCTTCTGGTCTTGAGGAGAGTTCTGAGGTATGTTCCCCTGTCCTCATGTCTGATTTAACTGGAAAATAGCCAGGAGGTTATTCCACCTGAAGGCTCAGGAGCTGAATCATAGTTTAGGTCAAGATGTTATCTTTAGCCTGACAGAGAACCGACCTTGTGACCATTAGTCAGGGCTGAGTTCTATCTTCTGCTGTCTTCTGGATTGCTGATTATGGGGCAGGGGGAGGATAGGTCTCTGAGGGGTATATACATATACAGAGAGAGGCATGTGGTTTCTAGAGCTAGGATTTAAAGCTAAATTTAATCAATGTTATAAGGACCTCGGTTTCATAGACAATAAAACGTGTGGGTCAGAGAAAGGAAATGAGCACAAAGATACAGAGATTTTGAATTTTAAAATGATAAATACTTACTAACTCAATGAGTGAGTGTCCCTGAGGTGTCAGTGTCATCTACTTGCCATCTTATGATTTTTTAATCTTCATTCTCTCTGCCATTTTTCCTTTCTTGATTCACTCTCGTTTAGTTTTTCTACACGCCTTTCTCCTTCTAACATGTTTCCCTTTTCTAGATAATGCCTCCAAACTGTGGCAGTATGGTTATCGCTCATTCCCAACATAGAGGTCACAGTGAGCTCAAGGGGCTGCTAACCCTTGATGTAGAGCTCGCTGGGTGAATGAGGACATGCCATTTTGAATTATTAGTTTTTCCCAGGGGGAGTCTTCTCTACCTCCCCTCCCCCAACACCACCACCAAAGATCTGGTCTAACCTGCTAAAATGAAATGGTTCTCAACTTTGAGTATGCATCAAAATGACCAAGGGTTTTTTTAAAACATAGATTAGTAGGCCCCACTATGGAGTTTGAGCAAATCTGGGGTGGGGCATGAGAATCTGCATTTCTAGCAACTTTCCAGATGATCCCGATCTGCTGTTCTGAAAATTACACTGAGTAACAAGGTCCCAGAGTCTGTCCTTTGGGGATGGGATTAAGAGGTGGGGGAGAAGGGACTTTTATTAACTTCTACCGTACTTAAATTTTTACAGCAATTGAGTTGTTTTTGTAATAATGATTTTTAAATTAATGGATACAAATCATTAAAAATTGAAATAATTTTAACAGGTATAAAATCTAAAAGAAATACCCTTTCCTCTCCCTTGGACCCCAATCCCACTCCTCGAAGTAATAACTGTTAACAGTCTCTTTTTTTATATGTAAAAGAGATATGCATATATCTCTGTATGTATGTATACTTTTTTTTTAATTAGACAAATGCAAGCCTGCTCTTCATATTGTTTAGTGACCTGCTTTTCTCACTTATTTGCATATCTTGAAGATGTTCCTTAAAAGCCATATGGCTTTACCTTATTCTTTTAGATGGCAGCACAGCCTTTAATTGTGTAGCTGTATCACAATTTATAAAAATACTACAAATATTCTTAAACTCCTCTTCCCCAAATTCCTAGATTTGTCTGCAGCATCACCATGTGGTTAACATAAGGATTGCATCACAGAGCAACATCATTAATATAAGGGAATTATTAAAAAATTGATTTCAGAGAGAGGAAGGGAGAGGGAGAGAGATAGAACCATCAATGATGAGAGAGAGTCATTGATCAACTGCCTCCTGCATGCCCCCTACTTGGGATCAAGCCCCCAACCTGGGCATGTGCCCTGACTGGGAATGGAACCGTGACCTCCTGGTTCATAGGCCGATGCTCAACTACTGAGCCATACTTGGCCAGGCAATATAAGGAAATTTTAATAAACCATCTGTACTTATGTCACTGACTTGAAAACTGGATACTTCCCACAAGATAAGGTTTATTGGTGTGACCAGAGCAAAGTGGAGTCCTGCAGTTGGGATGCTGAAATGGATTTTTGGAACCCAATTCAGCCATCAGATTGCCATGCAACCTTAGGAAACTCAGTTCATGCTCTTTGTGCATCTGATCTCCCTCTTGGCACACATATGAAAACTATCCCCTGCCCCTCCAACCCCCACTTGGAGGATACAGGGATACAGTCTGCTTATAGCAAGCAGTTGCTTCTTGTAAGAGGGAGGAGTTAAAACACGAGTTGGTCTCTTGTGTGTATCACTTTAATCATGTAAAGAGGGGCAGCATAGTGCAGTAGTCACAAGCCAGGGCCCTGCCATTGGACTATTTGGATTTGATTTCTGCCTTTGCCACTTAATAATTGTGTGATCTCTGGGCCTCAGTTTTCGCATCCATGAATAAAGACGATAATAGTTGTGCCTATCGTGGAGGATTATTGTAAGGATTAAATGAGGTGCCTGGAAAAAGCCGACATGTAGTAAGCATTCAACAAATGTTCTCATTACTGTTATTATTAGTAGTAATTACAGTGCTCCCTTCTCTTCCTGTCAGTGTATCACAAACCAAAGGATATTCTCTTTGGTGCTCACTGATTAAGAGAGGGCCATTGTTAATATTACTCAGCCATAAAAAAGAATGAAATTTTATTTGCAACAGCATTGATGGACCTAGAGGTTACTATGCTAAGTGAAATAAATCAGTCAGAGAAAGACAAATACCCTATGATTTCACTTATATGTGGAATCTAAAGAACAAAATAAATGAACAAACAAAACAGAAACAGACTCACAGACACAGAGAACAGACTGATGGTTGCCAGGGGGTAGGAGGTTGGAGAACTGGGTGAAAAAGGTGAAGGAATTAAGAAGTACAGATTGGTAGTTATAA